AGAGGGGGGAGAAAGGAGGGGGAGGGGAGGGAGGCAGATCGATGCCTAGAAAGACTATCACACGCTTGAATTATGCAACGCTCCAGGACGATTACAAGCCAAAGAACAGCTAGCCTCTGGCCCGCTTCCGATTGGATGCAACATCTCCCACTCCTGGAAAAATAGCCACTATTACAAAAAATGTTCGAAAATCAAAGATGTGGGCTTCAAAAATATTTGGGCTGACGAATCGATGCATGATTGAATCTTTTTAAATGAAGCAGGAAGTCTTTCATATGCTGACCAATTTTGTTCCATGAAGTTCCGAAAGTCGATATTATGAAATCGAAAACACGGAAAAAAAGGGATTGGTCATCAGGAATAATAATTAGTTAATTTCGGGACGATCAATCAACACTCGCTGTGGTAACGAATTTTCAGAACCAGGAGTTGGTTGCTAAAACCAAGAACGGCGCTGGAGGAGCCAATTTGTGTTTTGATTTTAGAACGAATGCGTTAGCTAAAGCACCGAACAGCTTGTTCTGGCAACTTAGTTTTGGTTCTGATAACAAATTATTAGTTACCTCAACAATTTTTAGATCGATTGTCTCGAAATTAACTAATACCTAGTTCTGACGGCTGATTCTTTTGTCGTGAACCCCCTGCTGACAACCCCGAATTTTACTACAGTCTAATACCTGTACCGATTTATTTCTTAGTAGATACCTACGTTTTTAAGTAGGAGGCATTACTGATTAGTTTGCTACGTACTGTGAATATTTTTGTAAGTATATACTTACTGATAACAAAAGAACTTGCCAGAAGTGTATAAAGGAATTATTTCGTACCGGGTGTCCAGGCTAAGATATGCCAGTACGTTGGGCTGCCTATGCACTGGCTCCAGGAACTACACGCGGGGGTGGGTGGTGGGGGAGTGGTGTAGGAGCTGCCACTTCCTCGCACTGTAAAAAGCTTGGGAAGAACTATTCTTTGCATTGCAAAGAATTTTCAAGCGTTGTAAAATGCTTTGCATTGCGAACTAAATCCTTCGCATTGCAAACTAATTCTTCGCACCTTACGAAGAAAATCGTTCGAAACGCTACAAAGAATTAGTTCGTAACCTTGCAAACCATTTCTTCGCAACTTACGATGAAAATAGTTTGCAATGTAGAGATGGGCGAACAGGCCAGTTCGAATTTAAACGAACTCGAACAAATTTGGTCCAAAAATCTTCGAACGAACACGAACACGAACAAGCATTTTTTTCTTCGAACGAACCGAACCGAACAATGTAATGTTCAAATTCGATCCGAACACGAACAATTATTACCAATTTTTCTTGCTTACGCGTTATAAAAGCTATCCATTCTGGTTTACAATAGTTTCATTGACGTGTGAACTTGTAGTTATTTATTAAACTGCCACTGCCTTCTCAATTATACCCATTTTTGAGGTGAATTTCTGAAACATATTTTTATTTTGTTCGCCTACGAACTTCTGTTCGAGTAGTGTCCGAACATTTCGAATCCGAACACCTCATGTTCGTGTTCGAGCGATCACGAACAGCTCGATGTTTGTTCGAGTTCGATCGAATGCGAACATGTTCGCCCATCTCTATTGCAATGCAAAGAAAATAGTTTGCAATGCAAACTTCCTTACAATGCTTGAAAATTCTTTGCAAGAATTTTGCAGTGCGCCACCCGCCACGCGCCTACCACCCATGTAGCCAGAGCATAGGCAACCCAACGTACTGACATGTTTTAGCTTGGACACTTACAAGTGATGAAAAATTTGTCAGTAGCTTATTCAGGTTTTCAAACAGCAGGAATCCTGAGATAGGGGTGAAAACATCAGCAAACAGGATGAGAGTAACCAACAGGCAAACTTGCAAGTTATAAAGAGTTGAACACTTGGTTTTTCAGTGGTAATTGCCACGATCAATCACTTCTATGCAAACAATAAATCACATCTTCACTATATCATCGTACAAGTAGTGTCTGATTTTAAAGACCACTTCGAGATCAACAGCTTTTCACATCGAGCATAGCACAGGTTTAAGACTCCCGTCTGTGCCAAGTAAAGATTCGTACAGCACCACCCATACGTTACTATTGAAGCTGTTGGCGAGGTTGTACTCCTCTAGTTTCATTGTGGGCTGGTAATCAGCAGAAGCCCCGCACCGGTGTGGAGGGGGAGGGGATGGAGGAAGTGTAGGGCACAGATCCCAATCACGACAGACAGAATCAAGCCGGGCAGCCCGGGAGTGGTAAGGGGAGGACAGGGGACAAGGGAGGCGATATTAGTCAGAAGGGCCATATAAAGGCACCTAGCATGAGATTGAGGAAGCAAGGCCGACCTCCCTTATAAAAATATTCTGTACCGAAATCAGTCCGATTTTCGGACAGTCCGAGACGACATCCCGGACCTTGCCGAGAATACTACCGAAAATGTGTCAAATCAGCAAGTTTTCGGACTGTCCGAAGGCCGCGACCGGACGTCTATCGGACTGTCCGATGCCCGTGCCCGGACGTATTTCGGACTAGTCCGAATGGTCCAACCGGCTTAAAAAAAGCTGGACGAGCGGGATTCGTTCCCTCACCTGTCGGTCACCGGGTCCCTTGACCGACGCTCTTACCAACTGAGCTACGCCGACGGCTGAGAAGAAACCACACAGGAGAGCCTCTTTAGCTGGGCTCAGAATCTCTTCCGAGACGAGCGCTGTACACGACGAACGAATCAGCGCATCGTCATGCGGTTTTCGGCAAATGCTTTTGCATCGCACGAAATGTTCTGTTCAGGTCATGATGAACGACCTTTTTGAAAAATAAAATATGCCTGTTTAGTTTACTCAAATTTGAAGAGGCAAATTGCCAGCACAAAATAAAATAAAATTTTGTCCTTTAATTTTCCTGGCGCTTTCAGTGCTCAGCAGAAAGTTGAATATGCGTAATAGGTGGATTAAACAAATTTTCATAATTTATTAAAATCATTGTATTGATATAGTTTGCCAACTTTCACAAAAAAAGTACAAGTCTTTAGTGCTTAAACAGCTCGAGACCGTCCTGTGACGACCCGGGTTGATAGTCGGACTGTCTTCGGACGGTCCGGACCGGACTACCGGACTTATTAGGGACTGTCCGGTAGCATCGGACTTTTTACGGACAGTCCTGGGTGCCGAGGGCTACTTTCGGACAGTCCGGGATCGGACTCGGATTGCTGACGGACTGTCCTGGAACATATTTGGAAGTGTCCGAGACGATCGGACTGCTTTTGGAACAGTCCCGGACGAGTTTCGGAATGATTTCGTTTTATAAGGGCTGGGCTACTGTTCAGGGGGGGGGGGGGGGGCATGTTAAAATAAGGGAATGTGAAATATTTTGAGCTCCTAAAAGGGCGCTACTTTGACGAGTTGCCCCTAAGAAAGCAAACCTGTGCATGTGGTTTTTTTAGGCTGTTCTTGCCCGTTTCTCGACTGTTGGCAAAACAAATTCATCCATAAGTGAGAGATCTGTCGTAATCCATGGGCAAAAATGTTTGTAGTGTTCTTGCAATACACGCAGAGAAGGCATTCATCCACAGCCAGCGAAGGTTTAATAGGAATTCCTCAAGGTTTTCCAATTTTCCTCCAAATCAAATGAGACATGATTTTTGCCGTGTGGCCTTCAATAAGTCGACAGCGACAGTCAGACAGTTACACGGTGGGGTTTTCATTGCCGGATGGATAAAAATAAAAAGAATAAAAGGCAAGCTGATAAAACAATTTTTCATTTGATTTCCCCCTCGCTCGGGCCTTTCCAGCCGAAGCGATATTGGGGAAGCGGGTTCCTGTTGCGTTGCCGTCGGCTCGGGATGCTCTGCTCGGCTTTGATCGCCCGGAGGTACCGGCGCCCTCCCTCAGCGGCCTGGTGCTCCCCTGCCGCTACAAAGGCCCGTGCAGAGCCCCGCTGCCGTGATGTGGCGAGGCGCGTTGGTCCCGCCGCCCAACTTTTCCAGCCCCCATCGATTAGTTGTTTTGAACAAGTTGCCGCGAGACAGTGAGGGTTTAGGTACATGACGCGTACAGGGGAGGGAAGGGGAGAGGATAGCGAGTGCTGTCGGGCGCGAGAATGGGAGAAACCTCATTCATATGTGGCACACCGAGATTTTTTGTGGTCTCACGACCATTTTTTGGTGACAATGCCGTACTTAGCAAAACAGAGGGGTTGATTTCAGAAGCCCGCCAGATTGGATACCAAGATGGATTCCTTGGGAAACAAGCAGATCAGCTTCGAAGACAAGCAAAACGTACTAGTTTACAAACTGCAGAATATGCACTGCTTGATTTTACTCAAACTGCTAGCAAACCGGCATCCTCGGCTTGAAAACCAAACTCTCATTTTTGCCGTGTATCGGAACAGATACCGCAGTGTTATGGGATTGATCGATTGCTGATATTTCAGCACGAAATGTGCACCAATTTTCAGACTTCAGAGTGACGTTGCTGCGGCGATAGGCTCGCGGTGAAGTCGTTTGTCGAGCCGGCGGCTTGTGCTCCCAGGCCGTGGCATTCGTCTTCAGCGAGGTTGGGCGGAGCGGCGCAGCTGCCCTGAGAGGCTTGTGGAAAGAGGTCAGGGAGAGCGGTATAGAGGTGGGGCGGAGGGGGTGAGGGTATAGGAGTCCAGGCGGCGCCGCGACAGATTTGGAAAGCCCTGCAGGCAAGCGGCTCCATCCCGGGCGAGAGCTGCGCCGCTCCCGACCCCGGCCGCTCCACCTGCATTGGCCTGGCACAACTACTTTGCAGTCCCCGAAGCCCAACCCCACCCCCTCCCCATTCGGCTCCACTTTCCCGCTTCCGCCCGCTCTGGCCCATTAGAATGAGAAGACGGGGAAGAAAGGGGGAGAGAAGGAGACAAGTCTGCAAGACGGGCACAGTTTCCGTACAGATCACAGAACCGCACGCACCTAGTACTTTAATTTCCACTTATTTTCAATTCATTAAAACTAGACAAACAACGAAAGAATACAGCTGTTCGCGCGCGTACCTGCGTGTGTGTGTGCAGCCGCCCCCCCTCCGCCGCGCAGCCCCAGGCCTTCGCTCTTTTAATTCGTTAAGCGACCCATCCTGGCGAGGACGTCCTCAGGACCTGAAACAGACAAGGGCATGAGGCGTCGGCTCGGCACGGCTGAAAATGCAGTCGACCAACAAATTGAAATTCAGGCGTCGCCGGGAGATGGGTGTGCCGGATCGGAGATGAGGCGAACAGGGG